GAAATGCCTTTCCGAACTATATATCTAGATTTTTATTCAGCTGAAACTTAGGTTAATCTAATATTAACGATTCTCTAGATAATAACAAAATAAGTGAAAATTTAAAAAACCCAGCATTAATAAAATTATTTAATCTTTTATCTTTAGAGCATTTTGTATCTCCGCTGATTACTATTACTAATGTAAGTAAAATGTTTAGTCAGATTCTTCTAATAATTACTTCTGAATTGTTGAAATGATTTTTTTCAGAAATGTATAAATAAATAAATAAAAATAAACTCTTAATTATAACATTTTTACACTAATAAGTGTCCTTTTGTCAAATATCACACTTTATAAAAAAAAGAACATTAGAATTACGTTTATCTCAACAACAGCATAATATTAGTGTATTCTTGCGTCTAGTCCTCATTCTCGTCGCCGGGAGTGTGCGACCCGCATCATTGCGGCAGCTCCTTCTGCGCGGGGCAGGCAGACTGCCACGTCGACACCTCCATCAGCCCCTTCGCAGTGTCCGTGCACCTCGGCCCGCCCGCGCACAAAACTGACCCTGACGAGAACATCGGCATGTGTCTGAGATACTCACAGCTGCCTTGTAACACATAACCAACACGTTCACTGCTGTCAGTAAAATCGTAATTCTTCATCTGGGGCGGCGGCGGGCCAAAATGCGCCCCCAATCATATTCCTGCTAGAGCGTGGCAGGTCTTTTTAGACCCACCAGCACTAGGATAGATTAAATTGCTATGTTATTGTGGAAACATAATTGTATTTTATGTATGTAATGTATATCTAAGAAAATCGTTTCGAACTAGCGAGAGGAATATAGTTTTCGCCCGCACCAGCTTCAGTATCGCGTCAGGCCGATTTCGGCCTGTTACGCAGTGAACGTGTTAGAGATAAAGATAGCTTTATTTTTTCCTAACAGAGTTTACATATATTTTTAAATTACACGTAAGAAATTATAAGATTAAGGTCCTGTCCTACCACTGGCTGATAGAGGCTCAGATATCTTAAAATACGTCATTGTCATATAAGGTAACAAAATCTGATATTTTACACGTTGGATTGTTATCAGACAATTTACAATTTGGTGGGACAGGCCCCAAACTATTATAAATGCTGTTTTGTTATTGTTTAAATCAAGGAATTTTATTTGTAAATTTAAAATACCAAAAATTTGCATTAATTATTTCAATGTAAGTTATTTATTTTCGTTATAAAATGTATAAATGTGAAATAGAAAATGTTATTGTAATTTTTTGAAGTGGTTTTATTGATTTATTTTGTGTTTTAATTTGTATAATTTTTATTTAGTTCTCGTGATATTTTTGTATTAAATTTAAAATGGATAAATGTAAAGAATATATTTAGATTTAGATTTTCATTAATAAAAATATAGGATTTAATTGCATTTATTACAGTAATTATTTAGTGTTAAAATGTAAATAGTTTATTTATTTGTTATATTAAGTTTAAAATGTTATTTTAATGTACAAAGTTATGTTTCAAGTTGACAATAAACGTTATTATGAATTCAGTGTATTATTTCAGTTCAATTAAAATTAAATAAAGTCATTAAGATATTACGTTATTTTTAATTTTAATATGTTTCTGTTACAATCTGTCAGTTTGCACTACAAAAACCTCACAATCACATAGATATCCAAATTTTTTAAGAAAATATATAATGCCTAGATGGATTTTATATGTATACTAGATTAAGCCCGCGACTTCGTCCCTTTGTGTTCTTCCAGACTATTTTCTATATCTATACCAAATTTCATTAAAATCCATCCAGCAGTTTAGACTACCAACATCTAAACTTTCGCATTTATAACATTAGTATGATTTCTATAATATCTGTAGTAAATATATCCGTAAAAATAATTAAATTACTAATGTAATTCGATTGTAGAATTCGCTTCCTAAAGATATCTGAAAGTTCTGGCAATCTTTCACACTTCACGGTAAATTCCTAAGACGATTAACCGACGCGACGTGAACCGATTTATTTGCCGTATCTTTACTAAAATAGTTCTTAGAAGTTTTAAACCGCAAACTGTTCCTAACACTATCCACATTGGATAAATTAAAATAGACAATATACTATTATAATTTCTAATGTAATAAATAAATATTAAAACAAACATTTAATATTTACCACAACTATTTTGTACACTGTTATATTCCGAATTAAAAATGATTTTGTTAATTTAAATATGTATTACTTTATTCTTATATAAGTTACAAGCTGTTGCTCCCGACTTCGCCGGCGTGAAATTAAAAAATATATCCCATGTTACTCACAAATATACCTTTCTAACGGTGAAAGATTTTTTAAAAACGACCCAGTAGTTTTTGAGTTACTTCAATATATACAAAAATACAAATCTTTCCTCTTTTTAATATCAGTATAGATTAGGCTTTATTTTCTAATACGTAAGTATATTTATAATAAGATAGCTTAAAATCTTACTTCAAAATAAACTCTAACTGCAGAATTTTTCTCTTTTAGGTTATTATACGAATTTACTGACGTTATTTAGGTAGTTTGACAAGTGGACTGGAAATGAAACTACAGATTCAGTTTTGTGGCATTACGTGACAGAAACTTTGTGGCATTACCTGGCAATGCCACAAAAGCATGCCGATGCTTCAGTGCTCGGTGCAAATTAATTGAGAAACTTCAAGCTATGACGTAGTATAATTGACATCCTCTTGGTTTTCAAGTCTATAACTTACACATATTTTAGTTTACTTATACTTGTTTATATCTATACTTATAAAGAGAAAAGATTTGTATTTTTGGATTTTAAAAATTCTTTCACCGTCAGTAAGGTAATTTATCTGTGAATAGCATACACATATTTTAGTATCACGCGGGCGAAGTCGCGAGCAACAGCAAGTAATATTATAAAGAAGAAAGATTTGTATTATTGTATTTTTGTATATATTGAGATATTAATTAAAAAGTGCTGGGCCGATTTTAAAAATTCTTTAAGCATTAAAAAGCTGAGTTATTATTGAGTAACATAGGTTACATTTAGTTTTACTTGGACGAAGTCGCTAGCAACAGCTTTTAAGCCATTAAGTCAAAATAAATTGTAAAAATTTGTCGATCGAATTTCATTGCAACAAGAAATTAATTTCCAATACCTTCGAGTATGCAATACCATTAATTATGCGCTAACACAGCGCTCAAACAATTCCAATTGTTGCTTTGTAATTGGCTTGCGGTATCATATATAGATTAACTATTTGCATTAGTGGATTACAATTGATTTAAGCTATGTATAGTTTTATATATTACATATAAAATACGATTCATTAAAAGCGAATATACCAAAAAATCATCATAGGAGCACGCTTTGACTAAACTATCGCATTACCGTTTTGTCGTGCTTTGATTTCTATAAGCTTATATAGTACGCACCCTACTCGATTTAGTTGTGCAACTAAACAGTTGGATTGGCTGCAAAATCGACAATCGATAGATTAGTCTAAGGTGTGCGTCCGCTCTAAGATTTATAAACTTGCAAACATCTACTAAGGCACATATTACCTTGCTTAGATAATATCAATTTAATTGTTATGTGAATATTAAAGTTTTTTTCTAAATGCGTAGAAAATGAAGATCCTGTACTGTACGTAACTTGTTTAAAAATGTCATTTGTTCTAATTATTTTATGAGCAAAAGAACTAACCTTAACCGTGACTGTCAATGCTAAATAAGGTGATGCCACCTATCGCATAAAAATAAAAACGTTTAAACACAAAGTATCAAAAATCAGTCCTCCTGGCCCATTGGGTTAACAAATAACATCCAAGCTGTGGGAATATCCAATCCATTTGATAAATGAAAAACCGCGCTTCATGTGGTACAGCTTTTATTACTTTTTCACATAAGAAAATATAACCTGAATGCAGTTGAAATTTTCATTGGAAACGATAGTTAATAAACTCACATTAAAATAAAATAAAATGTACTGACGTTTTATGCGATATTTTCACAAATAGTCGCAGAGCATTTTCCTTTGAACACGGTTATATACTCTTTGATCTTTAGTAAAAGCCAGGCAAAAGGACTGCCACAGAATTTGTAAATCAACCCAGTATTCCTGCAGTCATATTCTGATATTCATCTTTGAACATTATTACTATTCTTAATATTTTTTTTATGTAAATTATCTGTAATCTTTTAGCAATCTTCTAAACACAAATGTAAGAATATCATTTTTTTATTTATAATTTATAAGACAAAGAGTAAAAAATTTGCTATTTGCGAATAAAATCTGCTGTAGACGTTATGATTCAAGTGACAGTTTTATCTTTACAGACCCACTGCTCAATTGGCAGTTAAAATCTTTACTCAAGCACAGTTTAACTGTCAAGATAAAACGGAACGTGTGTATAGGACATACACTTTGACCAGAATAAGTATGCGAATAACATTAAAATGCGAGCGGTCAAGCGAATTTAAATTTGCCGCGCGAGTTGCCTTTTACACAATATAGAATGAAAAGTATTATTCACATTTTAGTTTTCAAATAAATTACTAAATAAATTTTAAAACACAATTAAGTTGTATAAATCAAGATAAAAATAATTATTATTTAACATTAATAATTCGCAGATTAATTTAAAATTTAATCTAGTGCTAAAAGTTTTTAAATTTCAAAATCGTCGAATGTTCGAGAAATCCGTTTCTCGGAAACAATATGAAAGCAATTCACAAATAAAATGAGTTTCGTCTCTCTTTAAACTGAATTCCATTTAATTGAGACGACAAAGTTAAATGTATTCGTAGAAATCATTAGGAATTTTCATTTCAGATGTTTATTTAGACTTTATTTGTGCTTTGATAAATCCGAAATTAATATTGAATAGCAAATATAATCCTGTGATAATAACTTTGGAAATATACCTGAAAACATTTTTTGAACATAAAAAGTTTCAACAAACATATTAATTATTCAGGTGAAAGCTGTAGAGATAACTCGTAACTAAAAATAGCATTTTATTTGTCGCGTCGCGGCCACAATAGCATCGGATTCAATGGTGCGTCACGTATCGATCGTCATTCGTCACTCAGCACAGCAACTGCGCTTTTATACGAATCGAAAAGAACTGCACATAGAAACAGAGACTAGGACGCATGTAGTCGGTGTCCTTCAAGAATAGAATAAAAGGCCACTTACTATGTCTAGTAGACAGATGTAATGTTGGTGATCAGATCATTACTAAATTGTGAAGAAGTTAGTAAATAATTGGCATTCCATTACGACAAACTATTGAATTCGAAAAGTTACGTTACGGAATATTGTAACAAAACAATTATGACTTAGAGGCCTTCAAAGAGCGTACTCTTTTTTTTAGGCCAGCAAGCCAGTTATAGTCTTCTGGATTTACCGATGTCCATAGGGATCTAATAACATTAGGCGATCCAATGCCTCCCTCCTCCTTCGTAGTAGACTATGGGAGTTGTTGACTTAACACTACGCCACTGCTTCTGCCATAGAGTTGTACCTTAAAAGGGCTGATTCCCAACCGTCACCCTGCTCTGTCCCCACGTGAGAGTAATAAATTTCATCCGTCCCACTTTTGAGTCCCACTATTACCAAAAAGCTCCAACCATCTCCTCGTCGCAAAAGGTGGGATGGATGAAACTTTTTATTCTCATCTGTCCCCACGTGGGGACAGAGCAGGGTGACGGTTAGGAATTATTCCTTTAAAAGTGGCAAACAATAAAAAGTTAACCTTTTAAATGTTTCATAAAACAATTGAACGTCCAATCCAATTGAGTTTCAATAAAAATTGTCGAAGTAAAATTTAATGTATTTCACCGCGACGCAGTTTCCATTTACTAAATGGGTTTGAATATTTATTTACCGTAATTGTAACGTTGATGCGAGGCTTTTACGTGATCACATATTTTCATGGAGGGTTATTTCGTTGCATGCTTTCAACGTTATCTAAACCTTCCTTATAATAGTTCTGTAGCAAATACTTTAGATCTGTTATTTCAGTTTTATTTTTTACATCAGATTTGTTTTAAATACTTCATTATTTAGTAGCAATATTTAAATCTCGGGATTCGCTGCGCTGACTGAAAGGTTCATTAACGAGCATTTAAGAGATCAGATGAAATATAAATTTATGTTTCGCAGACTGGAGCCATGATTCAAACTCTGCAGTTTAAACGTAAAACGTGCTTCCATTATGAAACAGCCAATTTGATACTTAATTATGATACATGAATATTACGTTGTTGTACTGATATTTTGTTTTTTATACTGAAGGTATTGTAGATAGAAGACTTTAATCTGCAACTCTTTAGCTTTAAATTGCTTATTGAAAGCAGTTACTTAAAATAATGCGGGGTTCACATTGGTCAGTAGAGTTATACAATTGCGATGGCCAGTCATGGACCGTATGGACTTACTGGAACCAGTTACCGTCCAGTTGCTGTGCCAGTCTAGTTATTGAGTTCTACTGAGCAACTGTACAAGCCAAATCTGAACCGCGCACTAGCTACACGCTAGCTCTATTTTCCAGGACTTGCCCATTAACAAATTTTGTTAGCATAGATATGTTACTTATCTGACCCGGTGAAAAATGTCAAATAAAAAAAAAATCCTCGTTGAAATGCAGCTAAAATGTGTTATTTTCTATGCATAAGTATTTTTAGGTACAAATTCTCTGATAGATCTACCCTAATAAAATCATGCCAGATAAATTTGTCGTATTACATTTAGCTATAACACTTAGCTAAAGGTTATTAAAAGCGCGCACACCTTTGACTAAACTGTCGCACAACTGTTCAGTCCCGCTTTGATTCCTATGATATAAGGAGGTGCGCACACTACTCGATTTTTGGGCTGCGAAACAATGGACAATCGCACAACAGTTGTGGGATAGTTTAGTCAAATGTGTGCTTGTAAATTGTACATTAACAGTTTATAGACACAAATCAGTGTAGCGCCAATGGAAACAGTCTCTACATAATCCGGCGTTGTCGGACTCCGATTCCCACCGCTAATTAAAGCCGGAGCTTTAACGAGGTTCGTCAATTAATGAAAACCAAACGTCATAGTAATTTCCGATCAGGATAATCTTAGTTTGCTTCGGTTTAACTGTTCAACATTACTAACTACTAACCACACAGAAAACAGGCGTGAAGTGGAAGCAATTCCGCGTTTCGTCTGATGAGTGTGGTGCTAAAGGCCTAATTTTAGTCCCTTTTCCTTTCCACTCTTTTCTAAAGAGGAAAGGATGGGAAGAAAAAGTGGATTTGACGGTGGTGGAGACGAATAGGAAGAGGAAATGTCCTCTTTATGTGCGTCTCTATGGGCTTGTCTATGGTCAGTCGCTTTTCATTTCTATGGATTCAGGTGGCCGCTTGCTCGTTTGCCACCTTATATTATAAAAAAAATAAATAAATAATAGCGATCGTTAATAATGAAACACAGTATTTTGCTTTATACGATTTTTATGCAAAAATTTTGTCATTGAAATAAGGTAAATTGGGACGAAATTTCTTTTCCTTATTGCTTCTAATTAAAATAATAATTTTGCCCAATTTAATGTTTAATTGGAGAATAGCTCGACCCGATTTATGTTTCAGTAAAAACGAAATTATGTAAATATTTTTCATTCCACTGAAATAAATTTTATGCTAAGTTAAGCATCTGAAATTAAAAGATTTATAGCTGTATATCTTAATATCTAAGTTTTTCTGGGATTTCATTGCGCACTTATTAGTATACATTTTCTCTGTACTTAATTCTTTAATAAAAGGATTTAAAATTCTTTAATGATTACTTAAAATAGATACTTAATGTATATATTTAATCTCTACTGAGGCACTCACTTAGGATACTGCAATTTGGATGCTGCAGTATACTATTGATTGTATCAAATTTAAAACAATAACAAGCTAAAATATTATATTTCCGATGCGACTTCATCCGCATGAAATTATAAAAAAACATTTTATTGTTTATATTTGTCAAATTATCAATAGCAAATGTCAAAATGACACGACATGATGTCAAACCATGGCAACCTTGCTTCCTTGATGTTGGTAACAACTTATGGTATCTTTTCCACATTAGGCTTTTTATCCAAAATATTTTACTCTAAGTTTAACGGCGTGAAAATGTATAGCATATAGCGTGACGTAAGTGTAGTGCTTTTTATTAAAAAAAAGAGTTATTCGAAAATATGCAGGGATTGCTGACTTCTTAGGCAACAAAGAAGTGTGTGTTTACGCTTTATTATAATAGTATAGATACGGTGAGTTTTAACTTCATTTTAATTAATCTATCATTTAATTTATACTTCACTTCAAGTAAACCGATTTACCATCGATTTATCGTCCACAAATACCAGAAAACTCAATTAAACGAGGTTTATCCAGTTAGCTGCGACCGACGCGGCGCGCCGGGCGACGGCGACGTTCTGCAACATGAGTTTATTCCTTCACAGAAGGAATACTTCCAATTACTCTTGATTACATATTAACTTAGTTAAAAGCAGACTTCGTGGTCTTGATTAGATTCTTTCTTATCGATCCGGATAAATGGGATTTTATTATAATTTTACAATTGAAATATTTAAACTTCATTGATGTCTTCTGATGTACGAAATTAGCAAACATTTTAGGATTTTTTTTTATAACATAAGGTGGCAATTGAGCAAGCGACCACCTTAATCCGCCAAAATGGCGAAGCGACCGCTGCCCATAGACATCCGCAATTGCAGATGCGTTGCCTACCCTTATACGACGGAGGAGGAGACGCATATAAAGAGGATATTTCCCCTTCCTATGCATTTCCTCCACCGTCAAATCCACTTCCCTTCCCATCCTCTCCTTAAAAGAAAAGGGTGGTAAAGGGAAAGGATCTTAAATTAGGCCAGAAAGTTAACAGAATTAGTTTCTTCGAGTAAACTTTCTGGCTTTTCATTTGTTTTAGGGTCGTCGCACAACTGTTGTGCGATAGTCGATTGTTTCGCAGCCAATTCAACTGTTTAGTTGCACAACTAGAAATCGAGTAGTGTGTGCGCACACTACTCGATTTTACTTTTACTACATATAATCTCAGGCAGCAGCTACGAATCAAAGTGCGACTAAACAACAGTGATAGTTTTGTCAAAGATGTGCGCGCTCTCAATGGTCTTCACACATTTCTGAGAAGTATGCTTTTGCTTTTTAAGTCACAAAAGAGTTGGAATTATATATTTACAATATTGTTCAATTCGTGTTGATATAACTTTATTGGTTACGTTTTTTATTTACGTTCCAACATCATCGGCATCACTCATTCACTTGTTCTGTAAAAATAACATTTTTTTATTGAATATTGACTCAAAAGTGATGTCAGAAAACAATCGCAATTATCACCATCGATTGATTGATTACAAACACATCTCTCAGACATCCAGCGCTGACAATGGTCGATTCCAAAATACGATTGTTTACTCTCATTGTCTCATTGATCGACAAGCGACAGCTCCGAACGGTCCTTTCAGTTTTTTACTATTAACGAGTGTGGATACGTTTCTTTTCAATGAAAAATTTCATATAAAATTAATACACCAAAATCTAAATAGTCCTATCACAAGATAATATAAAATGACATTAAAAGTTTAAAATCAAACTCGTTCGAGAATGGATAAAAATCTTTTATTATATTTTACAATATTAATAACAGTGGAGTGTTCAAAAAATTTAGGCAAAGTCTGTGATTTGGTAACTGACGATTTACTAAAGCAGTGTTACATTAGAGAGACTTTAGTATCGATTAGTCATAGTCCAAACCAATTGGCTGTGAATAAGAACACCAACACGGTATACTTCAGTTTTGATTCCGGACAAGGAGAGTATATACCTGCAGCAGTTCAAATAGAATCTAAAAAGGTGACTGTACTGAAAGGTGTAAAAGATGCCTTCGCTGTTACAAACGATCCTTTAATAAGTGAGATGTATTTCGGAGGCAGTAATGGTATATACAAGTACAATCCAGCTCAGCAAACTTTAAAGCGGTTAGCTGTGAAGAATTTAGATATTTGGTGGTTATTTTTCAAGAAGATAATCTATTTCATTAGATTTCCAAGTTTAAATGCATATTGCTATCATGACAGACTTGTTAAGCCTGTTACACCATTAACTAACGTGACTGTAAATCAATTTGTTTTTGATAATGACGATAATATATTTTTCATTAATGGTACTGGTTTATTTGGTATAAAAAATGGTCAGAGTGATATTATCTTGTTAAGAGACAGTCCTCGCTTCCTTGGTATGGCTGCTAATAATAAAGGCCATGTGTATTTGTGCAGTGAAAATGAAATATTTGTTATAAGTAAGATGATTCAGAAAGTAAAGAAGATTGTTAATATCCCAGGTGTGTTGGGAATGACTTTTGATAAAGATAATAATTTAATATATTCAGATTCTCGTGAGATTGTAAGATTGTTGCCTATATCTAACAGTTATCTTAAATTGTAAATAAATGAATTGCAAATGAGTAAATACTTTAACCATTAAATGCAAGATGTTGCATTTATACATCATTCTTTTCTCCCTTACCCAATAGACTACTTTGAAAAATCATTTTTCTCTTTTTTTTAATCTATGTCCAATTTACTAGCCAGTTTCAATTTATGATATTTAAAACGAAAAAAATCGTACATTTAAGGGTTAATGTGAAAGACTTTTGACGTCATATTATTCTTTAGAACGCACCTTTTTACTAAACTGTCGCACATCTGATCAGTCTCGTTTTTATTCCTATGAGTTTACATGGAGGTGATCACTACTGGATTTTTAGTTGTGTCACTAAACAGTTGTATTGACTGCAAAACAATCGACGATTGCATAACAGTTGTGCGTTTGTTTTTTCAAAGGTGTGCGTTCGGTCTTAATGTCGTATAATATTAGTTGTTCTTATTCTATTATCTTTGATACGTTCTAGTTTATCTGATTTCTATAGCGTGATTCTAAGCAATGTTTGTTTGTTTGTAAATTTGTACAATTAACTATTGCGTTATTGTTTTCATAGCCACATACCGATCGACTGTGCTGTCTTCAGACCGTGATGTATTTATTATCTAAATGAATAGTGTAGACAAATCTTAAATAAGAAAATATGTTTTTGAAAAAGGGTTGTTTTATTTGTTTTGTGTTTACGTCATTATGTATTGAAAAAACAGGTTATTGTAATGAATAGTTTGCAAAATGTTTGTTTAATATCTGATGTTTAGTTATGTTTTTCTTTTGTGTGTGTGATGTTATTTGAAAGTTCTATACATTTCCATTATTCAACGAGACTGTAATAATTTTATTCAGTTTTCATAATGTACTTTTTATACGTTTCTAAAAAAGATTTTTCATTTCATAATAACTAATTTATTTATTAAATTGAAAGCTATACTTACATAATATGCTTTTTCTATATCTTTTAAATTATGATTTTCATTATATTAGGTTATGCTGCAAACAAATTTTCATTTTTGCTCTTTACATGATTTAGTCCTAAAGTGCTGAAAAAGCGAAAGTCAAACAAACGAATAAATATTTTGCTATGTTAATTTTATGTTGTACTAGCTTTCTCCCGCGACTTCGTCCGCGTGGAGTTAAAAAAAAAAACAAAAGTGAGTAGCCTATGTGTTCTTCCAGACCATCATCTACATCTATGCCAAATTCATCGAGATCCGTTCAGCAGTTTAGGCTACAAACTCTAACAAACATCCATCTATCCATCTAAACTTTCGCATTTATAATATTAACTAGTTAGATAGGAATAAATCGGTTTATACAATTAGTTAAAACTAAAGTTTTTCCAACTAAAGGCAACAAATTAGCAGATCTAGATGGCGCTGGCGTCGCGGCGCGGTCTCTAATCTGACAGCTTGCTAATTGGCTCATTACACTTTCTAAATGTATTACCTCTACGCGAAATGAATTTGATTTAACTTTAAATTATTTAATTTGTACTTATGTAACATTGGTTAGAAAAATTTGGGCATATTGAGATTTCTTTAAACTTCTAACAAATGTCATACTTTCGCATTTATGACCTTAGTAAAATTATCATGATAGAATACTTGCTTTCGTCTACGACTCCCTTCTCGTGGAAGAAAAAACAAATGTGAGTAGCCTATGTGTTCTTTCAGACTATCCTCTACATCTATGCCAAATTTCATCGAAATCCGTTCAGATGTTTAGGCTACAAACTCTAACATTAATCTAAACTTTTGCATTTATAATACTAATCATGATCATCCTTATCCTACTCCCGTAGGGTCGGCGCAACAGGTTTTTGTCCTCTATCATACGTCATCTCAGTCATCACCTTTTTGATCTTGTCACCTTTCACGCAATCCATCCATCTCTTTCTAGGTCTACCTCTACCGGCGTACCCTTCCACACTCATAACTGCTCTCCTTGTAAAATGCGATTCATCTCTCCTCATAACATGACCATACCATACTAACCTTTTACTCCTTACCTTCTCTACCACTGGGGCTACTCTCAAACTTCCTATTCCTCAAAAACTACCTTTCATTTACTGATTTATAATATTAGTATGTTAGATAACATTTGCAATGTATTTGTACAGCTTTGAATAGCACTTAAGAAATTATTCACGATTGATTAAATTTGAAGCTTAGTGCATGCAGCGGGCGGTAGCGCCCTCTAGCGGCCACAATCCTGTTAGTTGTATTGTGACCGGACGAAGCCAGCCGGCCGCGACTCCACACGGTTAATTGAACTACTATTGTGTCAAATAATAAATAAATTTCAACCTTTTTTTATTGTAATAAGGATAAAATTCCAATGAAAATGTTGTCGATGTTCAATAACATTGGAATACAATTGAATGAAGTTATGCACCGAATAATGGTTGACGGAAAATAATGAAAATTCGTGCTGCTTTTTTGGACAAAAGAAAACATGTTATTGGTGATAATTATTGTTTTCATTTTGCATTCTACTCGTAAATACAAACTTTTAGAACATTTCACATTTGCATTAAATAGAGCAAGAAATATCTCTGTTGGAACTACCAAGAAAATAGATATTTTATATCTAATAGATATAAATTACTAGCTTTAGATATTAAAAATAGACTTAATAAGTAGAGAATGTGTTCTTCCAGACTTATCGAGTTAATTTTTGCCGTTCTGGCAATACCTTCTAACAAAGATTCATATATCAGTCTATTCATATGAAATTTTGTATTTATAATATTAGTAGGATTTACTGAAGCGAGTAATTAATACCATCAATAGATTTATGTTTAATTTAATGTGAAAACAAACAACGTTTTAAATAACAAATAGTCGATGTTTGCTTTAAAACAGTTTGCTTATCTTCCTGATCGCGGAAATATCACGTATTTCAGGAGGAATGTTTGTTTTAAAACTAGCTGTTGCCTTCGGATTCAATCGCATTTTATATTATTATGTTAGAAGTAAAATCAGTCTTGATATTACGTCCAAACGTAGCTCTGTAAACCTTTTTATTAGTTTTTCCAGCAAGTGTATTGTACCGTAATAGAAAAACTTTCCCGGAGTATTACACTGGCCAGCTAAACCGGGTACACAATGTGGTGGGAGTGCGTGAGGTCGGCCTCACGTCGGGGATTATCTCTCACTTCCGCAAACAGCGCTGTTTATTTTCATGTTTGTTCAGCTCAAATGATGCTATACATTTTTTTAATTAAAATAATTTCAATCTAACTGCCACATTGAATTAGATAACCATTAAAGAACCGTATTGTCGCCTTAATCAAAGAAATACATATTAAAACACTAGCTTTCGCCCGCGACTCTGTTCGCGTGGAAGTAGAAAAACAAAAGTGAGTAGCCTATGTGTACTTCCGGACTACCTTCTACGTCTATGCCAAATTTCGTCTAGATCTGTTCAACCGTTTAAGCTACGAACTCTAACATCCATCCATCCATCTAAACTTTCACATTAGAAAGTGAGATTAAGTAACAAAATACTTTGAGTCCGACAGATTTTCAACTAAAACTTAATAGCCGATTTACTAACCACCGAATTACCGTACAGATTTAGAAAATTTTTACTTTTTTAACCAGAAAGATATGTCAGTATATTACGTGTCTCGTTAGTCTATTCGATAGTAAAGCGTAATGTGAAGTGATTACTGAATACGTTCGTGATGTGTTATTGATGGTTCGATTGTGGCGGAGAGCGGAATCCAGTTAGTGATTGTAAGCGTCCAGTTTGCGGTGCAATTTGCACAAGTTATCAATGTTTAGTGGTTATACATTGAGACTTGTTATGGATTTTAGGAATAATTGCTAACATCATAGGTACAGTTGGATTAATGACTACAAATTTATTTGAGAAATTCTTTTGCTACATTTATACTAATATTATAAAGGGGTAAGATTTGTTTTTTTGTATGTATTGAAATAACTCAAAAACTACTGGGTCGATTTTAAAAATTCTTTCACCGTTAGAATGGTAATTTATCTGTGAGTCACATAGGCTTTACCTTTTATATTTTTTTTAATTTCGCGCGAGCGAAGTCTCGAGCACTAGCTAGTACTATATAAAAAGGAAATATTTGTATTTTTGTATGTATTGAACAAAATCAAAAATTAATCGGCCCGTTAAAAAATTATAGTTAAATAGCTACATTATCAGTGACTAACACAAGCTGTGCTTTTTATTTTTTTGTTTCACGAGGACGAATTCGCGTGTAACAGCTAGTCTAGTATATATTGTATGTAATTTTTATCTTAATGAAGCTGTTTTTTTACTACTTTAAGTACTGTAAATATAAATGTATAAATAAACAAATTGGATTAATAACGTACCTCGCATCTACAATACGAAATTAAATTCAGTACCAAATAAATCATCGTTACAGTGAAAAGTTTCAACTGAAATTTACGATTTCATAAGTTTTATTCGATCGAGTGTAGCTTTATTAAAATCTCAAAATTGATGAATGTACAACAATCACGTGTAGCTGAAAGCAATTCTTTAATTCTTAAATCTATACAATTATAATAAAGCGTAAATACACACTTCTTTGTTGTCTAAGATGTCAACAATTACAGCATATTTTTGTAAAAACCCTACACTTACGTCACGATTTAGGCTATATATTTTCACGCCATTAAACTCAGGGGATAAATATTTTGATAAAAACCCTAATGTGGGACAGAGACCATAAGTTGTTGCCAACATCAAGGAACCAAGATTGTCAAGGTTTGTCATGACATGTCATTTTGACATTTGCTATTGATAATTTGACAATGTAAACAATAAAAAAAATTTCATTATTTCATGCAGATGAAGCCGCATGGGAACGGCTAGTACTTCATAAAATTACCAATACCAATTGGTAATTAGATGAATTAGATAAAAGAAAAAAAATCATACTAATTGTTTACTGCTAAGTCAAGTTTCTTTAATGTCTATTACAAAATGAATGTAGAAAATGATGTTATCAAGTAACTATATGTTGCTTACGTAACTGTAAGATATAATTAAAAAGCACAATTAGACTAAAACAACCTACTTATGTGTTATGTGCTTTAATAAAGCTTTACAATTAAAGGACAGTTTGTTTATTATCGCTAAGTTTTAAATTCACTCGCCCAAAGCTCTCGAGGGTTCATACAAAAACAATTAAGGTCAAAACTTTTAGAGACGGGTCACGTGATCACAATTTATTCTGACGACCTTTGACTTTCATCTAAATATTGCTCGCTGTTTAATTACTTTCCGATTAACAAATACGAACTACATATGGCGTTATTATGTTTTTTTTGCAAAATAATTGACGTCCGTAAGTCAAAGAGC